TCAGATAAACCATTCACACACTTAGGCTTTGTGATTAAAGAGTAGCATGATCGCATTATTGAATAAATTGTTGAAATAACTTTGAAACTCAAATATTTGAGTTATATGACACTAACTGTACATGAAATATTGAATAGCATTTAGAATAGATACGTTTACCTCTTATATGGGATCTTGATTCTTTATTGATGGTGAATTATCCCTGGTTTTGTAGGCTTGTGCTGACCTCACTGGGACACCTACTGCCTTTGCAGTAAAGCAAAAAGCACTAAAAGCAGTGTTGTTGCCAGTGAATGTTGAAGTGCATTCAATTCGTATTGAATGTACATACTTGCTCTGGATTACATCATTTTCTGTCATAGTAAGTGTGCAGAGAATAGGAATAGGATGCTGTATAAGTGGTGTTTTGCAGAGTACAGGTTGGAGAGTTTTTCAGCCTAGTAACTTTGGAAGTAGTGGAAACTATTACTGATGATAGGGTCTTCCAGGATCGGAAGCCTAATTCTGGACTGTGGAAATAGTGTCACTCCTGCTCCAGGAAGACCTGCAGAACTTTATGTTCACTGCTTTGTTAGATTGCTACTGCAATTTATTTGAGCATTGTTTAAGGAGCAGTGATTCATGGCTGCCCCCTGCCTTCTTCTTTTGTTAGGAACAAGCACATACCAGGTAGTATTGGTGATCCTCTTTCAGTAAGCGACACAGTATGCATTCTGTTGCTTGTCTCTTTTCTGCTAAACTTTTAAATTCTCCTGTCACACAGTTCTTAAGGAGATCAATGTTGCATTTGCTGTGATTTTGAAAAGGTTATCTATGGATGGGCTTCAGTCAGTTACGGTTTGTTTTGAAGTGCTGATTGCAGCTTAAATTCTTCCTTAACATAGATGTTAACTAAGTAAAATACAACTCTGATTTATTAACTTATCAGTTTGAAGAACAGCAAAAGAACTACTTTTAATGTATTACCTGATCCAATGCCCTGGTGTATTGCAGCACTCTTGCTACAAAGAGCTACTTACAAAATTTCAAATGTGGTTCTTCCTTAGGTCATACAGAAGACTAACTATAAAAAGATCAGTTGAGGAGCTGAAGAAACTAGTGAGGAACTAGAGGCTTTTGGATTGATCTTTTCACTTGATCCCCTTGAAGAAAACTTGCAGCTGTACATGTTGTATTGGGTCTGAGCTTTTGGCGCAAAGTTCATGAGTCTTCTATAATTCAACAACATATCAAGAAATTAGTTACTGTTTCAAGGCAGTTTTCTGCACATGCTTCACTGACTAACTTCACAGCAGAACCTTTATGGTGGTCTTAAGAGTTCTTTCACTTTATTAATAATGTTTCTTTTGAGTTGTGATAAGTTTGATATTATCACGGTTAGCAAGCCCATAACCTGAAGAGTTGTCAGAATGCTGTTAGCAGTAGTAAGGTCAGTTTCTACACTAAGTAAATATAAATAATAATGAGGCTAAGAATGGACAGCACACTGAAGAAAATGGACTGGATTCTCTTTTCTGCCTGCCACAAGTGGGAAAGGCTATTTTTGTGGTGAGGTGATAAAAGGTGTGGATGAGGCACTGTAGGAAGGTAATACATTGAAAGGGGAAAGACTTATGAGAGGCAAGGGAAAGGAGGAAGAAAGAGAGGAATGAAAAAAGAAAAATCTGTGTGTTGGGGGGGATTGAAAAAGCTGGAAGGTGAGAGTAAAGTTAGTCAGTAAAAATTTGTCATGCTTTACTCACATAAGTAAGTAGTAGAATCCAGTAGAGCAATGAGTGGAAATGTACATAGATAGATATTCACACTAACTGCCTGAGAGCTTCTGGTAAAATACCAGTGGTGTTTAATGGTACAGAAGTTGCATACCACTGCCATCTGGGAGATCTGAGTGACAAAGTGATGCAGTGCTTGTTGAGCCCCACAGGTAGTGGTTGCTGCAGGGCTCCTTGAATCAGTCTTTCTAAAAGCATTTACTGGCCAGCATTGAGGGGAAAGGGAAAGGTGTTTGTTCCATGTCATTGCTCTGTTTGTTGTTGTGGGTTTTTTTTCATCACAGGTGACAGGGGGTTTCTAGAAAAATAAGCAAGTCAAGACATAAGTAATTACCTTGATGCTTATTTATCTCAAAGCATTTTTAATCTGTTTACCAGTTAGTTCATAGCTGCATCGTAAGAGTAAACCGAAGTACAGCCAGCAACCTTACAGAGAATTAAAACAATTATATACAAGTAAAGACATGAAGCCTGTATTTCTAATTAAAAGTGTCCTCATTCAGAATGCCATTGCTTTAAATGGAATTTGACTAGTTCACACCTTTCACAGAAAGAAAAGAGCTGTTCCGAATTTGCACTGACAGTTATTCAGAAGCTTAAATGTCCCTTGTAAGAGACTGCATCACCAGTAGCATTGGTGCCACAAAGCTAGGTCAGGACTTCAGTTGAACAACTGTTCTTTGCCACAACCTGATGTGCACTCTTGCATATGATGTGAGGTCTTGTTTAACTTGTGAGATGCTATGGATATAAAGCAAAAGATGAAATTATCTTTCATAGCTTCATAATAATACAATTATCAATTATGTAACATGATATGTAATAAATATCTTCTGCAGATGGTTGTTCAAATTACTTTCTTTCAGCTGTTTTGTGCTGCAGTGCTGGTTTTGCACATTCCCAACAGATTTATTTAATTATTTTTTACTGAGAAATATGCTGCAGCTTGATGTTACAGTGTGAACTGTGTGGCCCTAGTTATTTTCTGTGCATTTATTTTTGTCCCTTGTAGGTGTATCCAGATGAGTCTCATGCCAGGTTTGTCTCCTCAAATGGTGTTGATGGCTGTACTAATTTTCTCTTGAAAATAACTTAGTAAATTGTAAAGATGCTTTTCAAGACATTTATACTTTATTAACCTGTTGATTGGCACACTTGATCTGCACTATTTTGCATTGTGTCCTGTTTTTGAGGTGATCTGCATCTTCCCTTAACAAATTAAAATAATACTTGCTAATGTGGAAAACCTCACAGTTAGAGCTGCCATGAGGCAGTTCTCACTTATATGGGCTAGCATACTGATGGTATTAATTTCCAGAAGGATTTTGAAATTCATGAACTGATTGGAATTTGAGTTCTGGATACTGTTTCTAAATTTCTCAAAGACAGTAGCACTATTTTCTTGCATCAGTTCTGGAATAAACTCAGTTGAGATACTGCAAGAAAGATTTAATTTAATTTTATTTTGAAGTAACAACATGCTCATCATTCTTCGAGGTTTTTAAGCTATTAAAGGCTGCCTTAGACATCCCTCACCAAAAAAATTGCTGACGTGGAAGTGTTTGCTAAGGAAATATTACTGCATGCCTGTTCTTTGGGTTTTTTTTCTTTCTGTTTTTCTCAAAGCTTCTGCTTTGGGTGCTTATTTTGCTCATGTGGGGCTTTTAGGGGTAAGAGTAAGGGGTATCTTCTGGAGGCACTGTGATATTGGAGGACTGTGGGGAATGGCTTGAGTAAGGCTTCCTCATCTGTGTCTCAGCTCCAAAAATCTGTTTGATCTAACCTGGTACCGCCATTCCTGCACCATAGATAATGCAATGGTTTGATGGGGTAATACCGTGACAGCAAAGCTCTTAAAACAGTTGCCAGAAGATCTACTGCAGAGCTTTAGAAAGCAAAGGCTTAGAAATAGGTCAACAGGAAAGCTCCAGTGGAACTTTAAGAAACATAGCTGGCTCTGGCTGAGATTGAAGTTTTCCAGTTATTATCTTATCTTGCAATTGTGCATGTCTGCCTTGCTGTGTATTTTTAAGTGTGCATTCTTCGTTCTTTTGTCTTGAAATCTCATATCCTGGTTTAATTTGTCATTTTTTTACTGTTTTAAATTGTCAGGCCCCAGTAATTTTTCTTCTGTTTTATATGCTTGCTCATTTCTCTCTATCCATTTCATTTAATTTTCATCTTCCCCCTTGCAATTCCTGCACCAACATGATGCAGGATCACTTCAGGAGCAAAGGATCAACAAAATCACTTCAGGAAATGCATTTTGTGTCTGAGTCATGCTTCCCCAGTGTCAGTGTTCTGTCTGAAACATCATTTCTGTTCTGCCTCTCAGCTGAGACATATTTTAGATATCTTTGGAGCAAAGTTTGATTCTTTTTTCATGTGCAAACATCTAAATACTGATTTATGTTTTAATTCTTGGTTCTGTAAATTATTTCTAGTCACGGTTTCCTGAAGCTGTGTTTTCTGTTGCTTGGAAAACTTCTCAGATGCTTATCTTGGTGCCATAAATGAACACACTGTAATGATGATTATGTTCAGTGTGGCTTTAGTGCTGTATAATGGTAGCCCCATTAGCAGAGATAGATAGATAGATAGATAGATAGATAGATAGATAGATATAAAATTGCCTATGCTGATCACTGGTACCATAGTAACTACAGTAAAAATATTTGAGGATGGAAGTCTGAGCGTATTGTGTCAGTGTAGAAGTTGGGCAAGCATACTGGTAAAGGTAGAGATCAGGCGTGATCGGAGTCAAAGGGGGATCAGGAATACTGACCATGCAGAAGAAATGACATAAGGTTGATTTATATTCTGTTTTCTAAATATCAGATGTATTCCTCACAAGTGCTTACACAGTGTCTGTATGTGTATTGCTGATTCTCTTGTGTTACTCAGTTGTTTGCTGCCTCTGCTCAATTGCTCTGGATTACCAGTCATAAGTGGGGAGGAGGGGGATTCCTAGTGAGAAGGAAGCAGATGGCTTTTAACTAAGGCCAGAATTAGACTTGATTTTTGTGAAACTTAGGTAAAATCAATGTACTGAGGACAACTGAGCATCCCTGAAAAATTCTGAAATGCATACATCTGGAATTCAGATGGAGGGAGGTGAAATGTACCTTGTTTTTTCAGGTCTGTAGATAAATCCTAATAATAGAATGCAAGATTTGTATTTGTTTTGTTTTTTAATCTGAGTATTTTGGGTTTTGCCATTTTAAAGCTTTCCTACAGCTGGAGAAAAAAGAACAAAAACTAACCTTTGATCAGCCACCTAAAGGAACAAGGAAAAATTATTCTTTCACGAATGAAGAAGTAAGACAGATTGATCGGGAAAACCAAAGGTTGCTAAAAGAACTGTCCAGACAGTCTGCAAAGCCTAGAAGAAGTACTACCTTGAAGAAGTCAGCTGTACCACCTCCTAAACTGTACCACAGTGCCCTCAACAGGCAAAAGGAGCAGCAAAGAATTGAAAGAGAAAACCTGGTGAGTTTTGAGAACTGATTTGGATCAGTAAATTGAGAAGGACTGTTTGTTGTCAGATGAACTGCTGCTAAACACTTAAAAAACTGATAAGGCAGCACTTGGAGCTATACTGCAATAAGTCTACAGTGAATTTCCTTTACTATGCTGTTTGCGTAATTGTTCATATGGGTGTTTTTGCGGGGGGGGAAATGACGCTTTTTTCAGATGAAAATAGATTTTACTTTATATGAGTTTGTTCTACTTTAGTATCATTCATTTTAAGAGGAACAACCATTATTGTTTACACACTCATAACTTTGGATAGCAGTCTAACTCTATTCATCCTGCTTCATGCATCGTGATTACTAGTCTCTCAAGAACAGGGTTGCAGAAAATAAAGCAATCAATGTAATAGCATCAAAACCATTATATTGGAAATACAGAGGATACAATGTGAATGTCAGTTTTGCTTTTTGACTCATTTTATAGCTATCCGTCTCTTTCAATATTTGTAGCACTCTGCTTGTCACAGTATTTGAATGTAATATCAATCACAATTACTTTAGTGGAAAACAGATATTCAGGCTAATTTATAAGGATATTGGCAGAGTTGTCAAATAACAAAAATAATACTGATTTGAATAAGATATTTTTAGTGATTGAATTGTAATACATATAATGATATTTTCATATCTCCTAGCTGTTCATTAGTGTGTTTGAAAAGGAGACAGTATAGTTAAAATATTTGGAAAATTTATAGTGGAAGTAATTTATTCACTCTTTTCATCTGTGCAAGCGTAGGTTGCAATTTCCTTTTATGTAGGCAGACAGAGATATAATTTCAACATAGAGAAAGTCCAATTCACTTATTGTCATGGTTTAACCCCAGCTGGGCAGCTAAGTACCACACAGCCACTCACTCACTCCCCCTGCTCCAGTGGAATGGGGGGAAGAGAGTTGGAAGGGTAAAAGTGAGAAAATTCATGGGTTGAGATAAGAACAGTTTAATAATTAAAATAAAATAATACTAGTAGTAATAATAATAAAAATTGTAATGAAAAGAGAAATAAAACCCAAGAAAGACAATTGATACAGATGAAAACAGTTGCTCACCACCGACCGACTGATGCCCAGCCAGTCCCCAAGCAGCAGCCCCCCTGACAACCTTCCCCCTAGTTTGTATGCTGAGCATGATGTCATATGGTATGGAATATCCCTTTGGTCAGTTGGGGTCAACTGTCCCAGCTGTGGCCCCTCTAACTCCTTGTGCACCCCCAGCCTACTCACTGGTGGGGTGGTGTGAGGAGCAGCAAAGGCCTTGGCTCTGTGTAGGCACTGCTTGGCAATAACTGAAACATCCTTGTGTTATCAACACTGTTTTCAGCACAAATCCAAAACACAGCCCCATACCAGCTACTAGGAAGAAGATTAACTCTACACCAGCAAAAACCAGCACACCTATTCAGGAAAATCTGTTAGGTTTTAGTTCTTCCAGCTTTCAGCCATCTAGATTGTTAAAACTTTTCAAAGTAGGAAACTTCTACCCAGCTTCACTAGACTACAGTTGACCAAAAGAACATTATACTTCACACACTGAAAGAATGTGGCATAAATACTTCTTAGAGATGGATGATGCTTTTCATTGTGTGGAGAAGAAATGTTTTTAGGCTTCAGTGGTTTTAGGTTGGTAGGAGGGCTTTCTTCATATGTTCTGGGGTTGGGGTTTTTTTGTTGTTTTATTCAAAATGTCAAAAGCAGAACTTGCTCTTCTACATAAACCTTGATAATAAGAGTGTATTCTTAGGCTGTGGAGAGGAAGTGCTGTGTTGCAGTCACGATCTGATAGTAATACGCTGTACTACATAACAGTACATGATTACTGCAATATTAATGTATATGATGTTTTACAATACACTTCTGTTTACTCAAAGCCACAAATCTTTTCTCTTCTGATATATCGCAGTCTTTTGTCCAAGAATGTCTTGCCTTTGCAACTTTTGAATCAGAAATTCAGTAAATCTAAGCATGTATAGTCATTTCACATATTACTGGTTTAGTACACATTAGAGATTCATCGAGGTTCCTTGTAGTTTGAGAAATATTATCCTTCATTTATTTATTCATTTATGCTTTAGTTGTTGTCATCAGCAACATGAGTGGATGTGTTTGACATCAGAATCATTCCTTACAATTTATGTTAGGACATCGTGCTATTTTAGACTATAAAAACATTTGGTTTATTCTTTTCCCCAAACTCAGGATGATATATTCTGCTCTTCTTTTCGGAAGAGTGATTCATCAGTACAGCTCTTATGTTTTGTTTAACATTGCTATCATTTTGAGCAATTCTGTTTACTTTTTTATTCTGTTTGAAATGTATGTGCACCTAGAGCATCACAGTTGTAACATATTGATTTTTCTAATACTACCTTTTGGGATTACAAGTATGACACATTTTTCTCAGAGACTGTAAATGAAAGAGCTGCCCTACTCTGCCCACTGATGAGGGTTTTTTTGCTTTATATAGCTAACAGTATGTGCTTTATGAAGTTGTTTTCTTCTGGTCAGTGGCATTCTTCACCTTTGCAGATTGAAGAGATGGAATTCCATGGAACTTCCTTATCAATCTCTCTCCTATTACTTGACAGGAACTTTTTTTCTTATACAAGGCCTGAGCTACTGCATACAGGATATGCTGCTTGATACACCTTTGTGAAATAGTTGTTGGAGAAGGATGCAAGGTTTTGTAAATAATTCAAAAATAGAAATCTACAACAGTAGTCTGTGCAGGGAGTCAAAGAGTTTTGATGCAGACATTATTATTTCTTTTTCCCTGTTGGATTACAGCTTTTATAATTTCTTATCTTGAGGATTAATACCTTGTCTAGGGAAAACTTTCACTTGTTCCACTAGAACATTCTTGGGGTAATGCCTATATTTACTGTTATCAGAAAGACAGCTTGATTTCTGGTGCAGGCATTTGGCATCAGAGGTGATACAGGGAAAGTAATTAAAATATTAGGAAATTAGAGAGGAATCTAAACAGTTTGGTGCTCTCTAGCTTTGTGAAAGGGTGCAAGGAGGTACAGGGAATATACGTTGCTCCTGCAGACTCCGCTAGAAAGAGCTATGATGGAATAGAAAGGTGCATTGCTCTGAAGAACAGTAGTTATAAGGTAGTGATTAGCACTTTATGGAAAAAGCACAATTAGTAAAATAGATCACTGTGATAATTAATGTCAGAATTTTGTACTTGTTGCTTTTGACTGGGTATTGTCATAAGTGGAACCTGCTTTTGATTGTTTATCTCAGCTAGCAAGACCAGAGCGCATCTCTTGCCAATAGAGGATGCTGCTGATTCAGAAAACATTCTACTCTTGTGTTTGAAGATACTCTCAACCCTGTCCCCTCTCCAGTGGAAAGGGACTTAAGTGTGACTGATGTGTTACTTTTTTCCCACGTCTGCATATATGTGTCTATCTGTATTGACTTATCATTATTTCTGCCAGTATAAATAAGATGTTCAACTTAATAAACTGGACACTACACATCATTTAAACTTTTAATAGTTTATTGTGTGATGCAAAAATCTATACTGGTATATACAGGTATGTATTTGGGGACCTTGAAATACAGACTTGCAGCCATCACACCATTCTTCAGTCACTTCATCTAAACTTAGAAGTAATTCATATCTGCATTGTTTTTGTTGGTTTGGTTTTTTTCATAATTTTTATTGGTTCTGACTACAATTTAGGTGTTAGATGACCTTAGTGAGCTAAGCTGCTGTGTTCAGCCAAGTTCCTAGGGAACAAGTGACCTTTTGAGTTCACACTGAAAGTTCACTGGAAGATCTCAGCAGGTCTGGAACAGCAGTTTTCAAACCTTAGATCAAGGGGAATGAGGGCATTCTCCTTTTCTGTGGATGTTTCATCTTCCTACACATCCCTGTGTGTTCTTCCTACCCCATGCTGTTATGACTCACTGCACTTAACAGTCCACGTTGTTCATCCCCCCAACTCATACTCCCCCAAAATGTACCCTAAGCCCCAACAGATCCATCTCTGATCCCAGTTCCAGTATAGTCACCCTCCCACACAAAAAAATCACTTACTGTGCTTCTCTGCAAGGCCTGTCTTTCTCTGTTCACCTACTCAGTTCCTTGAGTCATCTGCACTGCAGATGTCACTAGTGCTTCTTCCCACCACTTGCTCTAGTCATTGTGGCCTCAACCTGTGTTGTCCCAAAAGTGGGATCATTTACCTGTTGTGCAGTACACAAATATACACACAGAAGTATTTTATTTATTTCATGTCTGCACAGAGATGGGTGCTAGGTCATAATTCCACAAAGCTAGCACACCACACACTGAATCTGCCACACATTTATCTTGTTACAGGATTAGAAAAACCTGCCTAAATTTATGCTAATTGGTTATTAATTACTGCATCATCTGCTATTGGTCAAGCATTAAATTAGCAGGCATGCTCCTCAAGGGTGTGGGTGTGGTATAACTTGCATAGTCCTTTAATTGGGTAGCTGGTGGTAAACCTGCCCCCCTCCAGGCACCTTTCCCATCCCCTGGTTACTGGCGATTCTTGTTGACTTCAGGCCTCTCTGGCAATTGCCCAGCTCTCAGCGCCTTCTGGGGCAGGATGTTTCCTCTTTATCAGTTTTTCAGCTCTCCTTCAAGGATACTCTTTAGCAAAGCATGCTTTTTATCAGTCTTTTGGCTCTTCTTCAAAGATATAGTCATCAGCAAAGCAAGTAGTGCATTTAACTCTAAACTAAACAGTGTCTAAGCACTAACCCAAACACATTTCTGTCTCCGTAAAGTGGAAAATTCCGCTTTATGGATATCGCCTGCGCAAAAATCCTTCAGCCAAACTGTCTCCCTTCTCTTCCAGTCTGGGCTACCTTTGTCTTGCTTTTGCTGGAAAACCCAAGCTTTCTTTAGAAATGCAAGTACTGTACTGCTGTAAATGAATGTGTATTCGTTTGTCTCAGCTTGATTTAATGGTGCTGATGGGCTGTGGTGATGTGGTGGGGAGAAAAGGGCAAGGGAGGGATAGTGCCTCTGGCCATCCCCCTAACTGGCTGCCACCACATACGAAGAATATACCTTACCTTGAGCCACAGCTTCCAATCCTGTGCTGCACTGTGCCTGCCCTGCTATCCGTGTTATGCCTCAACCAGGGAGATAACCTCTAGGCATGGAAAGAAACAGGAGGGGGAGGGCACTGGCCCATCAGGGTCATGCATGGGCACCTTGTACTTTCCTCCCTCAATGTATTCAGCACTGCTTTTTCTTTGCTTTCCCTTTGTCCCATCCCCAAGGACCACCTCCCAGTCTGAAAGCATCAGGCCTCAGATGCTGCATACTTCTGTGGTTGTAGAAAGCATACCAAGGTTGTTCAGCTTACAGGTCTCAGTCTGGAGGAGAAGGCCGTAGGGAATGCAGTTGTGAAAGAGAACGTCGTCTTCTGGGTCGTCTTAGGAGCTCAGAAATATTTGTGTTAGGGTGGTGGCTCCTTAGAACTCAAGCACACAAAGGTTTATAAGGTATTTTCACTTACTGGGTTCAAAGCCATTTTATGCTAACTGAAAACAAAATGTTGGTAGTTCTGGAGATTAGAAGTGCAACGCAAAAAAAAAAAGATGCTTCTATGTCCTCTCATCAGGAGAAGCTATCAGGGTGTGGGATTGGCACGCAGATGTGCCTGACTAAAATACGGTGCAATATGGTGCAAATATAGTGTAATTCTGTGATCATAGTATTTAAGCTATAGGCTTTTGTGGTCCGATATGTTGTGGTCTGCTGATTCCTGATCCAGACTAGAGATTCCTGAACACTGCTGTGGTAATTATAATAAAGACTGACTCATTGGCAGGGTCAAGGAGAGTTTTGGTTGTTTTGCATGCTGCTTAATTTTGTGGGGGGTTTTTTTTGTACTCTTAGCCTACTTTCTTTGTGGTGATGCCAGCCACATGTAAACTTGATAGCTGTTCAGTTCAAAAGACTTTTCTGTTATCAAAGAACTGTGAGAGTGTTTTGACATTTAGAGTTTGTCAGGTTAGAGCTAATTAATGCAACTGGCAATTAAAGAAAATTACAAATACTTATATTGATAAGAACAGAAACATGTCCTTGAATGCACTGTTACCAACTTCCCCCTCCCCCTCCTGGACTCTGCAAAGAGACAGTGTGGTCACTAACATCAGTGACATTAGAGGAGGCATAATATAAATAAATTTGAACAGCTGTCAAGGCACACTAGTCAGCTGGTTAGGATTCAAAGGAGGTGAAACTGAAGACTTCATGCATTTAAAAAGCAGAGTAAAACAAGAAAAAGTAACGGGTTTTTGTGTTCTCTCTGAAATCAATTTAGAAGTGCTGCATTTTCAGTGATTTTTTTCTTTCTTTTTAAACATAGCTGCAGAAAAGTGTGTACTGATTTTTTTTTTCTTTTTCCTTTTTCTGACAGAGAGCATTAGAATTAGCTTTAGTGCTCTCCTGATATGCCCAAAGTTGAATTAGCAGCATTTATCTTGGCCAGTTGCATATCAGCCATCTTTTGATATAGTGTCTGGTTCCATTGTTCTCCAGTTGTTGACAATCTGACATTTTCTTCTGTCATTGGCAATAAGTATTTTAGTGTCTTTATAGATAGTAATCTATGTCAGATGCCTAGATTTGTAAAGGATTATCCTATTCCTAAAAGGTAATAATGCAGGAACACCTTCTGTGATTTTTTTTCTTTTTCTATATCATTATTCTAATTTTATTGTAAACTCAGTATTATAATAAAGTAGAAGAAGATGGGGGGAAAAGAAGCCTTGGGAGGCTTTTGCCAAGCTGGGAGGTCATCAATGATATGATATTATATATGTATTAAGCTTGAATCAAGAGCTCTGAGGAGCCACAATGCAATTTAGAGCAACTAATGACATTCCTGCCATTAGTGTCATGTACGTATTTTTTTATTCCTTAAATCTGATAGGGAACATGTATTTGGCTCTGAACACCTGGATTATGTTATGTGATCTGATTCTTTGGTCGTTAAGATCAATGACAAAATTTCTATTAATTTTATTGGTACAGGATTAAGGCTCCAGAGATTTAGCACTTCAAAAGAACAAGGAAAGTGGCAGTGTTCTTCAGTTCATTTCTCAAAAGGAGAAACTAATGAAAGAATTAGGAGATTTATGTGTATACTTGAAAAAAAAAAAAAAGCATTTGTGCAAGGTACTCGTACAATTGTACAAGGTAGTTCCTTGGTTAAGGACCTCAAGATTGTAGGGTTGGTAATAAAAACATAAGAATTGTATTAGTTCTGGGTTACAGATTTAGTAGGTCAGGACTGTCATTTCAATGTGGTAATGAGTTCATTTCTGTATGCAGCAGGCCATTCTCCAGACTGCAAAATTCACGACTGCAAGAGCGTGTTAACACATGCCCTTGGTACAATTTGCAGCAGAGGGCAAGGGAACCACAAGAGCTATTCTCTCATTCTCTGTAAGAGCTTTTCTTGCAACACTTCTACGCTACAAAATCTTTATCTGCTCTTTCTATAGCTCAGGGCTGTATTCAATCCAGTGTTAACCTGTTCAAAAAGTAATGTTTTACTACTGAGAGAGGTCTCTTTTTTTGCTTTAGTAATGGGAACTTCATAATTGTCAAAATACAGGCATAAAAGCAAAAGCAGAGAATTGTATATAAACTAGAATAAAGCAGGCATATGTAAACATTGTATGTTCAGAAGCAAGCTTGAAATTACTGCAGTTTTAAGGTATGCAAATTCGACGAGGCTGTTACACTTGGAGTACAGACTTGAAACATGCTCGACTCTCATAGGGAAGTTACTTCTACAATTTACCTGATCCATTTGTGATTGAACTGAACGCTTCCACTTTTAATATTGAAGGTAAATAAGTGATCTCTGCAAGTCTAAATGTATGTAGTTGTGTTAGGAAATGCGGATGAAGTTGTGAGTAAAATGTTAGATGTAATGTCTAGTGACAAGTCTACCATTTCATGTTCTGCAACTGGCTTTAGTGAAGAGCTATTTCTAGCTGAAGTCCTTCCTTTGACTTTTGCTTACTTAGGTATTTCCACTTGATGATGAACTGACTGGCACTTGACGCAAGCGCTTGTGACATATGTCTGAGCCAAAATCACTTGTCCTTTCTCCCTTGTGCACTCTGTGCAGGTTTCCAGTGCTCATGCATGAACTACCAAGACTTTGTAGATTGCTATTACAGCTAGACAATGACAATTGACATCCTGTGAATACTATACTATTTCCTAAGTCACTTTCTGTATTTTTTTATTCTTCTTTTAAAATCAAATAAATAAATCAGTACCTGATTGGCAGTGGGGAAGAATGATTGTTTCAGATTCTTGACTTCTACCATCTAAGTATGCACCTAGACAATACATCCTTATTACAGAGGTATTTTTAGTACTTTGGAAACTTGTAGAATTGCAGTTTGTGTTGTCTGTCATTGATAGGATACATGTCATAACCCTGACCGGCAATGGTTTTGTCATTGCCAAATGTTTGCAGGCCATCAAATGAATTGAAATTAGTTAGCAGAGGGAATGTATAGATCTATGCAAGGCAAGCCCTGGAAGTGAAATACAGTAAAAAGGTGAAGTTGTTAACTGGAAGTTGTGTATAACTGGGTACTTCCAAATTTGTCTTGCCATCACGTTCTTTTTTTAGATGATGGAGATTTCTTAATCCTGTTTCAAGTAGAAGTAGTTATACAGAATGGGAAACTGTCTGTATTTTACAAAATACTATGTAAGTAGCTGTTCTAATTTAATGCTTGCTGCATGATTGCCAGGGTTAATTTCAACAAGAGCAAATTATGTCTATAACAATAATTTCAATTAGAATATCTTAAAATTACATTATGGATAAAACAAATAGTGTCAGGTGGATAGTTGTGCTTTCCTTTTGACATTACTTTCACAGAATTGAGGTCAATAATTCTCTCTGGGTATCCTGTAGGGCAATATAAAATGGTCTAAGTATGTTTGCAAACCAAAGATTAAAAAAACCCCAACTTCTCGTCCTTCCAGAAATTTAGAAGAGAGGAGTAACCAAAAGTAGGATTAGAAGAGCACAGCCCATCTTCCCACCACTTTTACTATTGCCAAACTGATGTGTTGTTTCAAGTTACCATAAAATCCAGAGAACTATGGGGTACGAAAGATGCACTCAACATAGAACTGATGATCTGTAAGGGATTCTTACTATTCGTGTCATCTTCTAACACTGCGAAAAAAATTGAACGTGAGTTGTATAGCCTGGGCTGGTCACCAGCGGAGAAGTTTGTGTTGTGCAATGCTAAAACTTTGGGGGCTTTTTGCAGTTCAAATAAAAATCAGTTTGCAAACATTTGTTTTCTAGCTTCTTGTTGATCCTTTCTCTTTCTTGATGGTCTTTTTCTTCAATACTAAGGCTTTCCTGAAAAGACTGGAAGCAGTGAAACCAACAGCTGGTATGAGGCGTTCTGAACAATTGATGGACTATCAGCGCCAGATGAGTTATCTAAATTCTTCACCATCTGTAAGAAGAGGAAAATCTGCTTTCAGCCAGCTTAGTCCTTCCAGTAAGTACTCTGAAGTTGCGGATTCTTGCATTTCTTTGCATGTGTTTTTTATAATTCAGAATTGTGAACTGCTTACTGCTAAGAATAGAAAATAAGTTCCTTTCTCTGCCTTTCTGAGATCATTTATCACACAGAAAACATTGAAGTGAATTTTTTTTAAATAATACCAAAAGTATGATGACCATATGAATTGCTTATTTACCATCCTAAATTTCTGATAAATTATTTTGTTAATCATCTTTTCCAAGAAGGTAAAAAAATCACTGTTGTAAAGAAATATTTCTCATTTTGTCAGTACCCTTTATTGAAAGGAGAAAAGAAGGGGGGAAAAGCATATGGCATGAAGCTTTCAGTTGTACTGGGCATAAGCGTTCTCACTCTTTTTTTTTTGTGTGTGTGTGTATGTTAACAGGAGGCACTTCAAGAGCATCCGCTGTACCAAGTACAATGAGCCAGAGGAACGAAAAACCCGTGTCTGATTCAGCCAGTGGGGCATTACAGAGACCCAAACCCACTAATGTTCGTGCTGCTTGGTTATAAGGGCATTCTTTGCCTTGCATTCTGAGATGCAAGTGCTTTTGTAAATTCTATGTGCAAAAATATTTTCTGCATTGTTCAGTGATTAAAATGCATTGCATATTATATAATTGCTTATAAAATGGTTTTAAGTGACCGCTTTCACTTCAGTGTTTTCTATGACAGGAACTTCTGAAAGAGAAGGAGGTATTTAAATGAGAAGTTCAATAGAAATTACTAATTATTATTTTATTCTCAAATCATAAGTGGAACTTGTATCCATAACATGGAAGGACAGAATTGCTGCACTATAGGTATACGATGTAAAGAAAATCTTTAAAATAATAATATTTTAAAATATTGCATTAAACTCATAAGCATATGCTCAATTCCTAGACTGTCCTTGCTTTTCATCCTGGCTTTAAGTAAGCCTTCTGAACTTTGTGGGTCACGTTCTTACGACTGAAAGAATCTTCTTTTTACAACAGCATGAAGGGGTGTAAAGCAGGTTGTGTATTCCTGCATGGTTAGCTAGAATGCTGAGGCTGCCAAAGATGCTGTTGTGCCACTCTTGCAGGCCAGGTGTTGAACATTTGTTTTGTACTCAAGGCTGCATCTCTTCTAGATTTAAAAGAATTTTGGAAGTTGTATTAGGACCTTAGTGTAGGAAAGAAGCATCTGATGCTATTTGCACAAGAGTAAAGACTGAAGTGAACAACAGTTTCAGATTCACTCTAAAGAAGAGTAAGTTTTAGTTACTTCTCAAGCTAGACAATACTAAGCAAGGGAAATATTTCACGGCCCTGCTTTTGCAGATCCTTGCCCTTCTTGGTGGGGAGATATAAACTTGAGCTGCAGGGAACTTGAACATCTGATTTTGAGAGCAACTACTAACCAGTATTTAAAAAAAAAAAAAAAAAAAAAGACAGTAAAACCCAGAAACTCTTGTTATGCTTCTCAACCTGTTTTTTAATGTCATGTTCATACCAAATATTTGTAGTAGTGTCAGGTAAGCTTCAGCAGCAACATCCATTTACAAGGGAACAAAATTTAATGGAATTGGTAATTGCAAATAGTAGGTGGTACGCTTTATTTCTATACATAAAGGCAAACTTTCAGTGAGCTTATTTTGTAGGACTGTATGAAGAGCATAAATTGTGATGCTGCTATCCATGGATGTTGCAGGAACCCTGCTTGCTTCCCCAGCTTCTTCCCAGGAGAGATAGAGGAAATCTCTTTGTATTATGCATAAAGAAAAAAAAAAAAAAGCTGTATTCAGTAATGCTGGTTCTTAGCCCTATGAAAAGGAAAGTTTATTGTTCTTTGTTCCTGCTTGCATGAGGGCTTAGGCTTTCATGTATTCCATATCGTATCAAACTTTTTACTTGGTTCTGTGTGATAGTTTGGCAGAGCTTCTGCACCTGGTTACCTGCAGATTGAATTTAGCTGTTTGACAATATTTGAACTTCTCACTTTAAGCAGCATTGTGGCAAACAGATTTTTTTTATTGCAATTATTCATTGATAGGGACTGTAAGGAATTTTTTGCATAGTGCTGCTGTATTTATTTGTACTATTGTGCTAATTAAAATTATTCACTATTTAAAGATTTTTGTCCTTGAATGTGAATGTCAGGGTCACAGTTTAAATACTTTTGAATGTTCATATGATTTTTTTTTCTGTGAAGGAATTCACAAAATTGATTACTTTTAATTGCTTCATCTTATTTTCACAAAATTGATTACTTTTAATTGCTTCGTCTTATTTTATTTAACTTTGGTATGACAGTCAATTTTGTATGTCATTTTTGTAAATCATAAATAAAATATTTAACATTAATTGTTTGTCATTGCAGTGGCTTCTTTCAGAATTTTATAATTGATCTTAAAGTGCAAAGGCGGTCATGAGAGAAGAAAATCTCTTTGAAAGAAAAGTGCAAGCTGCTTTGCTTCTTCCTTAAAGTGAGCTGTGACACTGGTTTGACACACGGTTTTGGGGAGGAGCCAATCTCCCTGCTCAAGGATTGCCCGTTTGGGAGATGGCACTGGTGTATTGATCTCACTACTATGCGAAATGGACTGTGATGCCTCTGTCATGTTTTGCTCTGGAAGTGTCCCTGCCTCATTGCAGGCTCTGTTTCTTCCAGGATAGTGTTCCACTGTGTAGTCTTTCTACAATACTGAAAGTCTTAAAGAAAGTTCAGATCATTGACTATATGAGAAGACCAGGGAGTGATGATGCATCCCTGTCTGCATAGGTGACATGAGCAAAGTTGTGGATGAACTATGTCATTGTCATCTGATGAATGAGAAAATACAGAAATATAAAGCTGCATGTGGAGCCATCTTCCAGGACTGAAATGATGTTGAGGTCATCCTGTTTCAGATACTGGCAGGTATTGCTAACGCTTGTGATGCAGATCTGGTTTGTCTTCAGGATGCATGGTTCTAATACCTTGGTCAAGAAAGCCACTGTATGTCTCCTGGTAGCTCTTTTCCAAGATGAGACAGGATTTTGCAACATTGATCCTTGTAGTTGTCACTTCTGTTTCCAGGACCACCTGTCTTACTCACTTCGAAGTCCTAAAATGCTGTTCTCTATGACTTTTGTTCTGGGCTCTAATTGCATACAAAACCCACAGTTCTCTCCGCTGTATTATATGTGGTCAGAGCTTGGAAAAAAAAAAAAGGGGTCTCCGTTCTTTCCGCACAGTGGCTCTTAGGACTAGAACCATGCTATTGAGATATTTTTTCTGCTGTAAAGTGAGAGAGACTTCACAAGGGGAACACAGGTGGCTGTGGTTTGCCACCTGGGGCATGATGCTTCTTTCCCTGCCATCCTAGGCTGGCTAGTGGGACTCTTGATCTCCAGCTGAGATTATCCAATAACTGTAACTGTGGCACCCCTGCAAACAGAGTGTTGTTCTGGGTTTTGAACAACTTAGCAAGGTTTTTCCCTTCTGCTATGCTTCTCACCATGTCTTAAACTCTTCCTTGTGGCTTTCAGAGAACTGATGGCAGGTTCTTCCATGAAAAGAATAGGGCAGAGAGCAGAGGATATCACCTTCAGAAAGGCAGGGAAGGTTCAGTCTGCTGTCATGGCTTCTCCCCCTCTCTGCAGTAGGCTACACTCTTTAGAGACAGGTTTATCTTTCAGACTCACCTGAAGTTCCTAACTCATCTCATCCGAAAGGTCAATGCACCTTGGTTCCCTCCCCAGGTTGTGTCCTTTCAGAGCTGGGCAGTACAGTATATGCTGCATGGTAGGTGGGCTTTGTCTGTCTGTATTAGTAGGATATATTACCAGGCTATTCAGGGCAGGTTTCCCTGTTAAAAGGGAGTAATGGTTTTGATGCAGGCTTTTGCCTGCATAGTTTTTCTGTGACTATTGCAAAGGTACAAAAGGATTGGGGCAGTGGTATCAATTGTCTGTGACAACCAAGGTTTATTTGACTGGAGTTCAAATAGCAACTGGACACTATCTGCAAAGCCTTCTACATTCCAGCTTTGCAGAGCTGACAGCTGGATTTTAGGTTACACTTTCAGCAAGTATGATGCTGAGTGCCACAGACTCAGTGCAGAGCTGCTTTCAAGTCAATGGTTATTTCACTGAGTTTCAAAGTCTTACACCAAGTATCTTTAGGGAAAGTACTGCCTGGAATCTGCCACAGGGTGTGCACTTGCTTAAGTGTTCAAGCAGAAATACAGAGCTACTTACCTGTGTTTTCCATATGTATTATTTTACATATTGTCTCTTCTTCCAGTGGACTCTTCCTGTATTAATACTCCTCACTCTCCCTTTTAATAGCCTTTACTACTCCTTTGTTTTTTGCCTTTTTTATTCCCTGGCATGTAGTAACTTCTTTCATCTACACTCATCAGAAATTTCTTTTGCTTCCTCTTATTGCTTCCCTCCCCAAGGTTTGGTACCTCTGTGTATTACAATCTGTCCTTTCTGGTATCTTGTAGCCAACTTAGACCTTCTCTAAAACATGTGCAACCTTGTCAGCAAGGTAAACATGAAATGAATAGTTGCAGTGCGTTAGCAGGCTTCTCATAAGGAACTATTAGGAATGTGTGGAGGAAGGAGAAAAGGAAGAGAAAGGGCAGAAGCAGGTAGGTAAAGCTTTTGACTAAGACTACTGCAATAAGCACTTTGAAAAAAACAGTAGAAAGATTTTCTGTATAAACTTGCAGTCCAACAAGTTGCAACCTTGGTTATTTATTAGTGGGAAAACAGACCAACTAGCTAGAAATGTGTCTAAGATAGTAACCATGAAAGAAGGGAGATGAAATGATCAGGACAGGTTAAAAGACAAAAATAATTAAATTTAGGTAATTTAAAAATAGACTATCATTTTTTGACCTTTTTTTTCTCTAAATGTTTCAGTTCTCCAGGTGGATAGATGTTGCTTCCAAATACTGTTTTAGTAGCTTGTATCTGCCTTCTGGGAGAATGGAGCTGCTGGTCTGAATCTGTAGCAGACACTACAGATACCGATCATACTAAGTGACACAGTTAGGACTACCTGCATCTGGCAACAAATTAATTTCAAATACAGGAAAGGGATAACTGAAAGTCAAAGCACAGAACTTGGAACTAATCAAAATGTCAATCTCTTAGCTCTCTATTTACTGCTACTCACAAAACTGGTTAATCCGGAGTTCTCATATGTATTCTCAATTATGAAAATCTTCCAGTCCATGGGAGTAACTGGATAGTTCTGAGAGCCATATGCAATGTTAATGAAGATAGTATCCACAAATACATTCTTTTGGGGAGACTTGTTCCATTTAGGCATCATCTATTTCAGTTTATATTCATAGAATCATATCATAGAATGGTTTGGGTTGGAAGGGACCTTAAAGATCATCTAGTTCCAACCCTCCCTGCTATGGGCAGGGGCACCCTTCACTAGACCAGGTTGCCCAAATCCAGCCTGGTTTTAAACATTTCCAGGGATGGGCCCTCCACAAACCTCTCTGGGCAACCTGTGCCAGTGCCTCACCACTCTAACAGCAAAGA